TAAGTTTAATTCAAAATAAGTAGTTAAAAAAAAAATTTTCTAAAAATAAAAATGTATGAGTATGACAGAAAGAGTCAATAAGTGATTAATTAATAATAACATATTAATACATATATATATATTATTGTACATATTATCACATTATGTATTATCTGACCTTAAACCAAAAAATCAACAAAAGTGATTTACTTATAAACTATTTAATTGTTATCAGAATTTTATCTACTATAATTTTAATTACCGTGTTTTATTATGTTGTAGTTATTTTTTAATCTAACCTAACTAGATTTTTGTTGAATATCTTTAGAAGGTATTAGGTATAGTTGCCACCACTACTATTACATCAGTGTGACCGGTCGCTTGTAATCACAACTGGTGCACTACTGTTTTGTTGTTGTACCCGTCACCCTCTACACCCCAGGTCAGCACTCGGGGTGCGCACATACGGGTACCGTCGCCATTTTACTCTACTTTTATACAGCCACGCGTCCATTTTTTTTTCTGTACAGTCCGTTTTTGTTACTTTTTTATTAACGTGTGTGTCGTTCTATTTCTACGTGTTCGCGTATGTTTTTAATCACACCGCTACGTTTATTACATGGGCTCGTCCGCAAATATTATGAAAACGTTGGCCTTCTTTTGAATTTACGCGTGTCGATGCATTCTACCGTCTTACGTAAACATACGACATGCTCATAATAATAGCGTTTTCGGACACTAGTGTTGGCGCATTATTGTCGTCACTTTTGGTCCTGCTTTAACGAACATTCTTTTGCGCCCTCGTCGCAACTCTGTCCACTATCTGCGCACGCCATCACGGACACATTAGTTACACTTTACCGCAGGGGCGTCATTTCAGTTTTTTTTGTGTGTGCGGGGATATTCGAATATGCCATTTTGAAATTTCATAAGGTGAAATAGACATTTTTTTCTAATTAGAAAATTAAAAATTTTATAGGTATGATATGATAATATATCTACTTACGTAAATTATTCGGCTATTAATAATTCCATGGATTACAAACCACAATCAACTTAAATAGTAAAAAAGCAATTTAAAAACTAAATAGAATAAATAATTGATTACTTTACCTGTGATTACTTAATCTAACTAATAATGTATAAAAGTTACAAGACAGCAAATTCAGCAAAAAGAGTACATAATATTTACACTTATAAATTATCATTATATTTAACCTATAACTTATATACTTAAAACTTTTTTACAAGCAAAGTTCAAAAATATAAAAAATGAATTATATTTTACAAAAGCGGATACCGGCGATTTTTAAATGTAGCAAATACGTACACAGATTTTTCTAAATTTATATTGTTATAATAAACCTATACTCGTACATTATAAATTATTAAAACAAAATTCAAGAATTTTAAAATGTGAATATTAGTCAGTACTATTGCATATTTTAATCAAAGTTTGAAAAGCCAAACATATTTCACTGTTTGAACAATGGTGTTTCTTTGTGCTTGAATAAAATAAATAGTATGTTGACAGTATATATAGTATAGACAGTATAATCCATATTTAGGGACAATGTAGTATGGAAGTAAACATCAATTTACTTCTCTTTTTTCAATAATAATAATATATGAAATAAGTAGGTTGGCAACCTGTTAGTTTAATTTTTTACTGTTAGTATTTTTTTTACACCTAATTAATTTTTAATAAAAATTCCAATAACGGCTAGGTATGTATATAATTCTGATATTCTGAGTTTCTGACTAGTGTAAAAACTACATAATATTTATTTAACTTAATATTATTTTATTATAATTAAAACAGTAGGTATTATTGATATTTTTTGTTGCCTTTCAATGGAACTGCTTTTTTTGCACCTCTCTTTATGCACCTTAATACGAGTAAGTGAAGATTAATTTAAATTTTAAATTAATGATGAATTAATAATTAGTAAAATGTGAGTGAAGTATCATTCTGGTTTAACATACCTATTTGTTGTTTTTTTCCTATTTTTGGTAATTAATTCCAAATGTTTGAAAATTATTTTCCACCACATACCATGTTTAGATAATTTTTCTAAACAACTTAATGAAAGATTGATGGATCATAGATTGTTACTAACAGTGCCGTAACCGAACTATTTAAGGCCCATGTGCAAATCAAAATCTTGAGGCCACTTATCGTTGTAAATTTTTTAGTATTTGACCTTTTGAGGGCCCATAATATGATACGAGGTTATAGGCGCAACTAGAGTCCAAATATTGAGAGTATTGAAATTGCTGAAAATAAAATAAAATGGTATTTAACTGTAATTACTATAGATTATATACATCTGAAAAAACAGGAGTACTAAAATACTAAAAACTCTAGTGAATCGTACATTATTCATAATTTTTATATTGAAATATTCTTTGTGTTGTATCGCGTCAGTTTGTACGCGAGATTTTTCTCAGTGAGATGAATCCAGATTAATAAAAGTATTTGATCCATCGATAAGAAATGTTCTTCAATCAAAGTGACAAATCGAATCTATGCAAAGAAAATTAGGAGTTAAAATATCAAAAATGAGTTCTGTGAGTGATTCAAGGTGGAATTGTAGATGAAAAAACTGTGAGTCAGTTATATACAATTATAAAGCAATTATTGCAGTTTTGCAAGAAGAAATAGATAACCAACTGGACCGAAATGTAAATGAAGCTATAGGTATACTCATATCATTTTTAATTAAATATTAATAATATTGTCTAATTATAAGCACCGGACTAATTTAATATGTTTTGAATATTTTTTTATAGGTATACTTTCAATAATGCAAAAAGGATCATTTGTTATTTTTCTATTATTTTGCAACATGTATTATCTTCTATAAATATACTTAGCAACATGTTTCAAGATAAAACTACTACATTGGGTAACGCAGGTAATCTAATAAACAGCGTAATACTAAGTTTTAAGAATGCTAGATCTACCATTGGCTTTAATGACTTGTGGTTAGACATAAAAACTTTTTGTGATGAAAATGATGTTAAACTGATCCTACCTTTTCAAACTCAAGGTCAGTATTGTGTTTGTGTACCTAATAAAAAATATTTGTTTAAATATTTATTTATTTAAATTAATATTATTTTTAAGCTTATTTAATATGTTTATTATTAGCATCTAAGCGAATGAGACGTGAACCCAATGTTTTTGAAGATTTCATTCTAACAACTTCTACTGCCGCAGAATCATTTAATAGTACTGAAACAAATAGTACATCAGTTGAAAAATACTATTGTGTAAATGGCTATTTTAAATTATTAGATTGTATAGTTGTAAATTTGAAGAAAAGGTTTTCAACTGAAAGTCTTCAAATGGTTGAAACTGTAAGACAATTTTATAAAATTAGATTTTAAAAAGAGTGAACTATTTATTAATCATTATAAGGTAATTTCATTATAAAAACTTGCTATCAAAATGTAATATTATTGAATTAATAAATGAAATGACATGTAGGATCAAAATTTTATATATTGTAAATTATTCTTATTCTATTTCTAATTAAAGAAATTTTTTTTTTTCTAGGATTTATTGGATGTAAAAAGTATAAGTGTTCAATCAGAAATACATGTTGTGATGAACTACTTACATTTATCAAATGGCAAAAGCAGTATTAATTTAGAAGCTTTGATATCAGTATTTTCCAAAAATATATACCCTAACATGTATAAGCTTATACACGTTGCACTTACTCTTCCTATAAGTTCGTCAACGTGTGAACGTAGTTTTTTCTGCAATGAGAAGGATTAAAACATGGCTGAGGTCATCCATGGTACAGAATAGATTTAACAATTTAGCTATAATTAGTATTGAGAAAGATATTTCTAAAAAAATTGATAAAGAAGCCATACTAAATTTATTTGCAAAAAAAAAATAGATACATTATTTTAAAATAAATATTTTTTAGTTTCATTATAAAGAGTTTTCATTGTTAAAATTCAAGTATATGTATGAGGATATCAGTATATGCATAGTATAGTAGTACAGTCAACTCGCGGTATAACGAAGTTCGATATAACAAAAATCTCGATATAACGTATAAAACTGTCGGGCCCTTGAAAACCTCGTGCTGTAACGAAAAATCAAATGTCCCCTCGATATAACGAAAATTTTTTGGCTAAAGTTCACGCAATGTAACGAATTTTTACAATTTTGGAGATTGATACAGCACATTTTACGAGTTTGTTTCGGCCATTCTTATGCGATAAGATAATGTTCATGTATCGTTTATATGATACACGTCTGTTAATGTAAATTGTATTAAATATAAATAAAAATTTGTTGCTATCGACAAAGGTTTGGTTGTTTGTGAAGTTCTCAATGACGATGAGATTTTGAATAAAGCTGATGACGAAGAGCTCCCCGTAAGCTCGAATGAAGCAAAATTAGATCTCCGTGCCGTCTTAAGTTTTTTACAAAGACATGATATTGACGACAGTGTATTTTGTAATATTCTAAATTTTAACAACACTATTAATCGCGTAAGCGCAAATGGATACACACAAAAAAAAAATCCTATTTTTTTAAAAAATATGTATGTATGTAATAAACAAAAAATGTATGAATGTATCTAATAAAATATTTAATAATAATATCATATTGTATGTAGGTATCTCTATATATATAAAAATTTCGTGTCACGATGTATGTTCGCGATAATCTCCGAAACTACTGGACCGATTTTGATGAAATTTTTTACACCGTGTGTAATTTGGTCCAACTTAAAATATAGGATAGTTTTTTTTCAAATTTTTTAATTGCATGGTGTATTTCGGGTTTTCCCGTGACCGACCGCGACAGTATCTATATAGCTACCTGTAATCTGACCTTTTTTCTATTGTGTGTGTTTTATCGTCGGCGGCGTGTAGATATGAATTGTTCCGAGAATTTTTATCTCAATATTATTTTTTGCATTGCAATTATTGTAATAAATATATAGGATAGTTTTTATCTCAATATTATTTTTTGCATTGTAATTGTTGTAATGAAGAAAGTTATAGAATTTTCGAGAAATATTCAAAGGTATAAAATGCGAAGTTCGGTACGACGTGTTCATCAGTTAATATAAAACGCAACAATCTGACCGAGTCAGTCATTATCGAGTTAATCGCGCCGTCTCGAGTTTTGTTTGTTATTTTTATTTATACAGTTTAATTATACGGTATATTAGATACAACCAGGCTAAATTAAGATCAGAAGAATACATCCATTTACGAGATGCTATCACCGGAAACATCGATGAAAATTTAAACGCCAATGACATCGGAACTGCATGTATTTTACCTTCAAGCTACATCGGCAGTCCACGGAGCATGCAGGAATACATACAAGATGCGATGACTTATGTACGTCATTACGGTCGACCTGATTTGTTTGTTACATTTACGTGTAATCCAAATTGGGAAGAAATAAAAAGTTTGTTATTACCAGGCCAACAATCAATACATCGTCACGATATCGTTACACGTGTGTTTAAACAAAAGTTAAAATCTTTAATTAATTTAATCGTAAAATATTCAGTTTTTGGTAACACACGTTGCTGGCTGTATTCTATTGAGTGGCAAAAGCGAGGTTTGCCTCATTCTCATATTTTGGTTTGGCTTGAAGATAAAATCCGTCCAGAAGAAATTGACCAAATAATTTCTGCCGAAATTCCGGATCCACTAACTGACTCAGAATTGTTCGATATTGTTACCAGTCACATGATCCACGGACCGTGTGGTGCTTTTAACATGGCATCACCATGCATGGAAGAAGGAAGGTGTAAGAAACGTTTCCCGAAACCCTTTACCAATGATACTATTACGGATATCGATGGTTATCCATTGTATCGCCGCAGAGACCCTGAGCATGGTGGTCACACATTTACAATTCGAAAGTCGAATTCTATAAATGAAGTTGAAATTGATAATCGGTGGGTAGTTCCGTACTCACCATTGCTGTCAAAAGCGTATAAGGTAGTGTTGGGAAAAATCCGGATTCATGAAATTCGAAATCCGTAATCCGGATTCGGATAAAAATTCGGATTTCGGAATTCAAATTCGGATTTTAACCGAAATCCGGATTTCGGATTTTGAAGCATTAAATTAATATTTTTTTATGGATTCCTTATATTAAAGCCTTGATAAATACAGATTTTTTTTTTTTGTAAAAAATTAATATATTTATATAGGAAAACTTTTAAAGCAAAAATATAACAATAACAATCATCAATATTGCAATAACGTGTAGATATTACAACCTAAACTCAGTTTATACATGAAATTAGTAACAACATTTATAAGTAGCAGAATAATTTATCCAAAAATACACAATAAATAATACCTAAATAGGGTTAGGTTAGGTTACAAATATAATAATTTATATTTGTAACGAACGATGAATGTTTTTTATTTAAAATAGAAAATGTTCGTTTTTTTATATTAGAATTTATAACGACAAATTTTTATTTTCTGCTTTAGAATACAGAAATCTACAATGTGAAACCCAAATATTCGGATTTTACAGCTTAAAATCCGAAATTCGGATTTTCGGAGAATCCGGATTTTTTTCACACCACTAGTATAAGGTTCATATTAATGTCGAGTTTTGCGGTTCCGTCAAATCCATTAAGTACATTTGTAAATATGTTAATAAAGGAAGTGATTTGGCCGTATTTGAAATACAAAATATAAACAAAAATGACGAAATAGCAAGATACCAGATGGGTAGATATATAAGCAGCAGCGAAGCTATCTGGCGTATTTTCAGTTTTCCAATACACGAAAGAGAACCTTCTGTCCAGCATCTTGCAGTACATCTTGAAAACGGTCAACGAGTATATTTTACCGAAGAAAATATTCTCCAAAGAGCATTTGAGACACCGAAAACGACACTAACTGAATTCTTTACATTATGTCAAAAATCTGATGTATTCGGCCAATTTGCAAAAACATTATTATATACCGATGTTCCACGCTATTTTACATGGAATAAAATAGGGAAAAAGTGGGAGCCCCGTAAGCAAGGAAAACCACATCCATCGATCCCAGGCATATTTAAAGCTAAGACATTGGGACGACTCTACACTGTACATCCTAAACAACGTGAATGCTTCTTTTTGCGTTTATTGCTGGTGAATATTCCCGGACCAACATTTTTCGAATATTTGTGAACAGTGAACGATCGAGTGTTCAATACATATCAAGATGCATGTTGCGAGTTGCAACTACTGGAAGCAGATAATCATTGGGACTTGACACTTGCTGATGCAGCATTGACATCTACACCGAATAATATTTGTCAACTATTTGCAATAATTTTGACAACATGTTTTCCAACACAATCATCGACTCTGTGGGAAAAATATAAAAATTATATGACTGAAGATATACTGCATCGAATTAGACGAACAAATCAATGTCCAAATTTAGATTTCACACCAGAGATGTATAAAGAAGCATTAGTGTTGATCGAAGATTTATGTATTTTAATTTCAAATTTGCCACTTAGTCATTATGGAATGTCATCACCTGATCGCCCGGCTGCCGACTTAGTTAACACTGATTTGCAACGAGAAAAACAGTACAATGACGTTGACTTAGCTACAATTATTGTGAATAATAAGCCATTACTGACAGCCGAACAAAAAAATATTTATAATCGGATAATGCTGACCGTTGATGCTGACCAAGGTGGGTTTTTTTTCTTAGACGCACCAGGTGGAACAGGTAAAACATTCTTAATATCATTAATTCTTGCAAAGACACGTTCCCAACAGAAAATTGCTTTGGCAATTGCATCGTCAGGCATTGCTGCAACTTTGTTAGATGGTGGACGAACAGCACATTCAGCATTGAAGTTGCCATTAGACATTCATAACAAACCAAACGCAATGTGTAACATTAAAAAAAAAAGCGGAATGGCTACAGTGTTGCAAAAAAGTGCAATAATAATTTGGGATGAGTGTACTATGACTCATAAACATTCACTTGAAGCATTTCATAGAACTATGCAAGATTTGAAAGGCAACCATAAACTTTTCGGTGGTACTGTTTTACTACTGTCCGGTGATTTCCGGCAGACTTTACCAGTTATTCCTCACTCTACTTTTGCCGATGAGATCAACGCATACTTAAAACAATCGTTTTTATGGACAAGTGTTGAGACACTTCGACTGACTATGAATATGCGAGTACAATTGCAAAATGATCCAACAGCACAAGTATTTTCTAAACAATTGCTGGATATTGGAAATGGTGAAATTGAGTTGCATCAAAATACACAATACATAAAATTACCAGATATTTTCTGCACTGTTGTTGAAACGAGAAATGAACTAATTGAGAGTGTCTTTCCGGATATATTGAATTATTATTTAGATCACAATTGGCTCTGTAATCGTGCTATTTTGGCAGCAAGAAATGTTGATGTGAACGAAATTAACTTCCATATACAACAGATTTTGCCCGGTGATTTGATGTCTTTTAAATCAATCGACACAGTTATTGATGAAAACGAAATCGTAAACTTTCCAACTGAATTTTTTTAATTCTCTGATTTGCCAGGAATGCCACCACACAACCTTCAATTGAAAATTGGTTCACCAATTATTCTTCTACGTAATTTAAACCCACCTCAATTATGTAACGGTACACGTTTAGTCATAAAAAAAATGACCGAAAATATTCTTGAAGCAACAATTTTGTCGGGAAAATTTAAAGGAGATATCGTCCTGTTGCCACGTATTCCACTGATAGCATCGGAATCTTCAATACCGTTTAAAAGGCTCCAATTTCCGATTTGTTTAGCTTTTGCGATGACTATAAATAAATCTCAAGGCCAAACAATGTCTATTTGCGGTTTGGATTTGGAAAACACATGTTTCTCACATGGACAGCTATATGTTGCCTGCTCACGTGTAGGAAAACCATCAAATCTCTTCGTGTTAGCGAAAGACAGGTTAACCAGGAATGTTGTACACAAAGTAGTACTTAGATAACTTTTAGTTTTAATAATTTAATTTATTTTTGTATGTTTTTAATGTATATAGTATTTTTTGTAAGTAGGTCACTGATTACAAACAATAATTTAATATAAGATGAATAAAATGTAAATTCAGAAAATATATATTTTGGTTTGTACTTAATTTCAACTTTTAGATACTTTACCTATTACTTTTAAATTTTCTCATACATAATAACACTAATACATGGCCTACGAAAATGCTAAAAAACCAACTAATACGCGGGCAACGCCGTGTCGGGACAGCTAGTGTAATTATAAAAATTTAATAAAATTTTAATTTTCTTTTAAATATCGTTTAAATAAATTTTGTTGATTTATGCTTTTGATATAATGAATTTCGATGTAACGAACTTTTTGCTCGGTCCCTTGAAATTCTTGAAATTCGTTATATCGCGAGTTGACTGTATATCTATCTAAAATAAATCACGCTTAGGTTTTGCATGATATTTATAGGGTAATATATTTTTTTTTTTTTAGCTTTGATACGCAATAAAGTATTTTTAAATATTAGCCCCCCTCTAAAATTATGGATAATTTCCGCCTATGCGCACGGGGACGTACGTCACCTTAACGTCGTGTGCACCGTTTCATGCTATTATGAGTATTTCTAACCGCACATTAAAAATACACCAGGCCAAAACATGAAATACAAAAAATGTGCGATTCTCTTTCAAATGCATTTCATTTTATATTATATTTTATACATTATATTTATCTTTTATTTCCAGTATTTTAACCCAAATACGTGCCTATAGTTATTAAGAACCTCAATTTGATAAAATTTACATTTTAAGTAAAAGCATAAATAATTTTAAATTCAAGCAGTTTTTTTCCATACATAACTAACTGTACAATGGTATACATATGTATCTTGTTATTTGCGAGGATTAAATAAACAGTAAATCGTGATAAAATATACTACCACGAAAATGAATATGAATACAAATTCAATTACTCTTCATATACGTTGACAGAAATTGATAATTGAGTATGTTCTGGGACGTACAACTTTGTGGCCAGCATCATCCCATGAGTGGCTAGATTCGTGTTATCGTTAACAACAAATAAAATGGAAGCGCGTATAATAGCCGATCAGTACTCTAGCCGAATAATAAATGATCATACCCGTAATTTGTCCGAACCGTATTTGAGCCGACACTCCTAAAATAGTTATCTCCTACTATCTTATACCGAATTACTGATTAGGTTATAGATAAGGATATAACATGCTCTAAGATGTTTTTATGCCCTTAATCCCCTCCTTACCTAGTTTGAGTAGTAGTAAAATTAAGTTTTTAGTAAGTTTAAATAAAATTTAAGTAAGTATTTTGTATTATAACTTTAAACCTTATTACCTAATTACATAATATTGTAATAAAGTTATTAAATTATAAAATTGTAGATTGTTAATGCGTATTAAAACATAAATTAAATAAAAATAATTTTCCGTTTGACACCCCGATCGTCCATATCTTCACCGGTTCTGACTAGTACCTACCTAACTATCATAACATAGTATCTATAACCATGGTATAAACCAGTGGTGGCCAAACTTTTTTTTCCTCGGGCCATAAAAAAACAACTTTTTTTTAATCGCGGGCCATAAAAAAATTGAATTCTAAATTTTTTTTTACGTAAATGCAAAATATTACAGTTATACAAATAAGTGCTGTAATATAGAAGACTTTCGCGGGCCAGATATTAAATGATGGCGGGCAGTAGTTTGGCCACCACTGGTATAAACTATTACCACATTATGATATTACCATACTCAAATGATAAATACTGTCGGTTAAAATACGGTTCGGCCGGAAATATGTGTCGGCTAAAATATTTTCGGATGAAATAATGTCGGCTACAATATTTTCGGCTATTTTAAAGCTCCTCAAATAAAATCATTAACAGATTTGTAAGACGAGCCACGGGAGCATGGTAAAATAATGAACAACATATATTGTTTAAACCTTTCGAAGGAGCTTTAGAAACGTCCAATCTTCAATTGATTTTATCATTCAAGAAATTTAGGGGAATAAGTTGATTTTTATAAGTTAGTGTCGACGAGTCAAATATTTATTTAGTGCCTATTATTAATGTTCTCGTATTTAGTTATAGTATTTGATTTTATAAGTAATGAAAATTGTTCTAGAAAACAATATCGTGTTATTCATAGTTTTTCAGCATCAGTATATAATATTATGATGTATAATACTGAAATATAAATCTTGAATAAATCTGTATCCGTATTTATGTTTTTAGGGACATCAGAAATCAGTAATACATAATTAAAAACTTTTTAAAAAAAATATAAAATGTTAAAATATTAATAAAATATTATATAGTTTATTAAGAATTATAAAATAATATTATAGAATAATATGGAATACTGAAGTCAACAGTCAGAGATATTTGTGGTAAACAATGTTTTGATATGGAACGAATGATATCAATATTTCATTGTGTAAGGTATATAAAAATAAAAAAATTAAGCAATTAAATTATTTTTTACTTTCGTTTATTTTGTATATTAAGCTACTTCCAACAGTTGTTTGTACATACAATATAAAAATAAATTTACAAGATGGAAGATAATATAATATAATGATAATTTTATTCTTTACATCGTTCATTTTGACTGATATCTAGTTATAATTTAAATAAATATAATTAAACTAACTTATATTACATGAACTTAAAAAAAAAAAAAAAACTAAAAATAATAATAAAATATTAAGCAGATGCCCAAAAATAACATGATTGTATACAATAATTATCCTACCAAAAGAATACATTTTAAAATATTATTTTTTTTTTTTTTAATTGTAATAATACAATAGAAATATTTATATAGGAAAACACCTTCAAATTTGAAGTATCACATGATAATCAATATATATATATATATATATATATATATATATATATATATATATATATTAAATTTAAAATTAATGTGGATTAAGTGAATTAAGTATTTTTCTAAGTTGTTCACACTGGTGTATATGTGATGCGTACCAATCCAACCTCTGATGGAAAACAATTAATTAATATATTAAAATACCTACATACCTAACATTTGAGATATAACTGAATTGTATGTATACAAGTTGGTTTAAAAAGTATCTATTGGAAACTAGTTACTTACTTGGCAGTCATGAGAACAATATTTTACTGATTTGCAGGTACTACACATGATTGTAGCTGGAAGTTCACAATTTTCTGCATAACACTAAAAAATAGCAATAAAAATGCATTTAAAATATTTTTTCCTTAGCGTATAATATTTTAAGTCCTTTCATAAGTATAAAATCCTAGAATGGTTAGAACTAAAGCTCCCATCTTGTGGCATTATCAGTAACCATAAATTTAGTTTCAGAAAAAATTTTTTTTAGTATTCACAAACAAGTTTTTAATAAAAGTTATTTTGAAAATAAATGGGTTAGATATCGTAAAATAATTTTGTGAATAATATCAATACTTTATTTACTTTTATTTATTTGTTGAGAAATATGAGAAACAAAATTTCACAAAATGTTTTATAATATTGCAATATCGGGCAGATATATTTCTACTTCACCAAATACACAAAATATAAGAATTTTTTTTGTAATTTACTTAACCCTGATATAATTAACGAACATTCAGGCAAATCATTAATTTTAAACTCTACAATTTTAAATCATTATCCGTGAACATGATAAAATAGATAATATTCGTTAAATATGGAATTAGTAGCAGTTGATATCAAAATTGAATCTTTTGAATTTAAAATATTTTTTTCTTTTTTTTCGGGATTTTAGTAATAGTAATGTGGTTATCCCGCGAGAAAAGGTCTTAGGTTATATATCAAACATTAATTCATCCATAAAATTATGAAATTTATATCCACTAGATATTAGGTTAGTATGTATTAGCAGTCGTTTAGGGCATATGGTTACAGGTACAATAATTGGACAATAAATAGCTGCTACCTATTGCGATAAGAAATGATAACATCAGAAAAATATTAAGGTCAAAAAACCTCTATATTAAAAATGATGAACTATTTCATTGATATTAAAGTATCTTTTAAAGACAGTAACAATTCTCAATATTTAAAACTTTATTTCAATAAACAAGTTACAATTAATACTATATGTTGTGATATTTAAAATTGATCAGATTTGCCAAAGATTTTAAAAATAATTTTTAACTCAAGTTAAAACTATAACTTATAAATAAATAAGTTATAAATTATAACTTAAGTTATAATTTCAGGTTTCAAGACAAATACAGGAATATCATATATTATATTTTTATTAATATAGATTATAAAAATATACATACCTTGGAAGCAACGTCTACAGTTTTTTGTTGAGATTTCAATATTATATTGTTATTTGAATTTTGATGTGGTCTTGCAGCAGCTCTTAGCACCTGGTATTTTGTACTACTAAGGTAAATGGTACTGCATTCAGGTCTTGGAATAGTAGCAGAAAGAGCTTTGATACCATGATTACTATATGTTAAAATTGAAGATGTTCCTCTTGGAGGACCATTGTTCAATGAAGTTGTAGTAACAATGTTTACTTTTGGTGCAATTGTTACTTTGGGATCAATGGACTCGGAAGGTTTTGTAATTAAAGAATTAGAAAAAGTTTCATAAAATGCATTCAGAGGTTTATTGGTTGGTTCTGAAGTTTTAAAAATAGCTTTTTGAGTTTTGTTCACAAGAGTTATAGGTCTAAAAAAGAAAAAAAAGAGAATAACTATTATTAATACAACTAATTACTGAAAATAACATAACATTATAATTTTATTCAGTTTTCAACTAGTTTTAATTTTTTTTTTTTAAATAATAATTGAATATCATATTAATGAATTTCGAGTACTAAATAATACAAAGAAAAAAAATTGAAGAATCTTGATTTGATCCTATCCAATTAAAGATTGAATTGTATCTTTAGACTTTATGATATATTAGGGTGTTCCTTAGCTATAGATGATGAAAAAAAATACCACCATTTTTAAAGGCTCATCTTCTAAAATGTGTGCATACATATAAAAATGAACCACAAAAAATGTTGTGCCAATTAAACAAGATTAACCTGTGCTGATTTTAACTTAAAGTTTGAATTACTTCAATTTTCCAATATTTATAAGAAATTTATATATATTTTTAAATATTTCAAAAAAAAATTTAAATAAATCGAAATTATTTTTATTACAGGTTTAAATAAAACAAAATTATCTAACAATTTTTAATATATTATACTGTTCATGAGATATATTGAATTAAATACATAAAAATACTGAATACTCAAAATAACAAATGTTCATTAAATTTGTAATAAAATCAATATCAGAGTTTATATATTGCATGAGACAATTTTATAAATGATTTTATCTTATTGTATATTTTAACGTTTAACAGATTAACCTAACCTTATCAGATAGATAAAACATTTAATGATAATTATATTATTTAAAATAACATTTATGGCTAGTAAATAATAATAAAAAATAATACCATTTATTTATGAAATTATTTTCTCGATTTGTTATCGATACAAGTTACTTAAAATACGATCTAAAAACGTGGGATACCCATATCAGTTTGGTTAATGTCAAAGAATTAATATATTCACTCAAATAGACAATGATATAGCTAAAAAAAGTGTGAAATTAACGGAAGAATTTAATGAAGCATTAACAGTCAATGAATAGCAAAATCAATAAGTACTGCAGTGTGTTTAGGAACATAGAAAAATTTATCCAGATTGTAAAAAAAAAACATTAAAAAAATTATACTAATAAAAATCTTTAATTATATTTAACATATACCTATATACAAAAAAATATATTTGAGAACATCATATTTAAGCTTAAATAAATAAAAATATTTCATTATACATAAAGTCTGATAAATATTTACCATTAATAATAATATCTTGAGTTATCTTACTAAAAATGTTGAAAATAGGTATTTTTATACATTTAAATCAATTTATCTCGTGAACAATAGAAGACATTAAAAGCTTGTCGGAATATAATTTATGGAACATTTTATTTTATTTAAAACATATAACATAAATAATTTCGATTTACTTAATGGTTTTCGAAATATTTATGAAAATATAAAAATGTCTCATAAATATTGGAAAATTTAACTAAATATAACTTTAAGTGGAAATCGGCATGGGTAAACCTTGATTAATTGACACATTTTTTATACTTCATTTTTATATACATGCACATGATTTTAGAAATTTAAATTAAAAAATTAAGGAACACCATAATATATATAAGAGATAAAAAATATGATATGTAAGAGACAACGATAAAGCTGGTCAAGGGGAAGGGTAACGAGTTATGACTATCCCCAAAATGTTTTTCTTATTTTGTAGAATATACAATAATTTTAAGACAGGTATAATGTTATACCAAATTATTAATAATAATTAAAATTGTGAAAAAATACAAGTTATAGTTGACAGTTTCACTAAAATAAAAAATAGCACATTTCTTATTCTAATTTATGTTTAATCGACTTATTATTAAAAGTTAGTACTTATGTAGGAAAGAATTGAAAATTTAAAAACCCCCCAAAATATTTTTCTGACTACATCACTGATAAGAGATACAGAAACAAATATATTTTAAAATTTTAATATAAGACATATTCCAAGTTTGATTCATTGGTAGAAATTTACTACAAAACAACATAGCTTGGATCAACAATTAAAAAGAAAAACCATAATATTTCATGTCTGTATTTACCCAAAAATTTAAAAAGTATGATATATTTTTTAATGCACTATCAAATATAAGGTATAATTAGAAGAATACATGTCTAGAATTTAAAAATAAAATATTGAATGGTACTAATGTAATTAAATAATATAATATTAAATGTATAACTTACTGATATATTCCATGAGGACCTTTAGATATCACCCAATGTTGAGGAATTGGATTATTGCCAGTAGAAAAATTGACCTCGGATAATATTTGTGATTCAACGTTAGTATTTCCCTTTCCCTTTGGAGAAAGTAGTTTTGAAGATGAAGAAGGAAAATGTTTGGGTTCTTTAAATTTTGAACTAGCTCTTAACTGTTCAGCAGCATTTTCTATTAATATCCCTAGATCTTCAGAAGATTCACCAGTAACAGCATTAATAACTCCTCGAAAACAATCTCTACTGCTTACTGAAGAAACAAAAAATAATGCCATTCGATCGGTTATTGATGGATCACTATCTCGAGTATCTTCAATTAAGCTAATTAAATCAATGCAGTCTGGGCGGAAGGACTTAGACCTGAACATAGTAAATATTCTGGGGTGTTGAAAGTCTGAGCTCTTTAAACTATTCCAAAGTAAAAGTACTAAATTTTTGAAAATGCTACCTTTTTTGAATTTCGGTTGATCCAATACTCTCAGTACTGTTAAAATACTTAAGAAAAACATTTGAAAAGCAGGTTCAAATTCTTCAATGGAAAAGGATGTTATTACAACATTAAAATGATCCTTTAATTTTGATTCAAGAATTTTTTTATGGCGTGTATGTATTCTATTTGCATCACATCTTTCTTTAAGTTTTTCAGCTTCACTTCTCTTTTTAAATGATTCATCCATTCTTGATTTGTGGTGTTTATTGGACAATGATATTACATTTAAAATATTTGCTATAATAACAATTGTATCTTGAACAAATTTGGAAAAATATTTCTTATAAAGTTCTTCAATTTCAATTAGTGATAAATTTCCCCTTACTGTCGGATATGAATTAGAAGAATAATTATTTGGAATTACCATTCTTTTAGTGCCAGTACGTTGAACTTTTGGCATCTTTTTGTCTAAAAATAAATAATTATACCTTTCTATCAAAGCTTCATCAATCATAGTAGATGGATCCCGAACTCTAATCTTGCCAATCAAAGAATTTTTGGGATTAACATCATCACACTTCGCATTGGTTCTTTCTGAAGTACTAATTACATTTTTACTAGTAGAGACATTATCATTTTCAATATTTAAAGAAGACTTAAATTTTGATTTAAATTTGTCAGTCTCGCCTTCTCTAGATAGAACTAATTTTAAAACTACAGGTTGTTTTTCATCTTCCAATTTAGCTGTTTTAGTATTTTTATCATTTTGCTCAATCAAATGTTTCTTATTTACACTAAATTTTTCATCATTAAAATCCCTAAAATTAATAAAAGCAATATATTATAAAATGACATTGATGTGGAAGTAATTAAAAACAATAATTATATTAATTCATACATCAAATTCAAATATACATTCTGAATGTTAAGAGTACTATTGAAATTTCATTCTACATCCTAAGTCAAACTCTAATTTTAATAGTTTAGAAAATAATTCTTTAATTGAAAACCATAATATTCTATACATAGACTTTTGTTTGGTTTTTTTGTTGATTGAATAATAGTTTTCATAAAAATTAGTTTTGAAATATATGTAATAATTATCTAGTTTAAGAGGTAAATTGAAAAAGAATCTTAGGGAATACTGGATAAAAATTGTTTATATTTTAATAAAAACTGTATTTACTAATCTTTAATTATACACCTCTTGATTCAATTGTACTTTATATAATTGAACATAATTTATATGAGTTTTTTTTTGTGTTTGATTTGATGTTTATTATATCAATCATTATAATAAATTCAATCATAATTTATAAACACATACACAATTGACTATAAAGGTATATATAATATAGAATACTTACAATTTATACTGATCAATATCTTCTTGAGTTAAATTTGGCAAAATAACTATAGGCCTTTTCATGACAGCTTTCAATGCTACAGTATCAATATTCTTTTTGGTGTATAAATGCATTCGGCTTCTGAAACACAAAAAAATAATAAATGTATCAATGAAAAAGATTAAATTAATCTTTAAACTTTAAATCATTCGTTAATTATTTTTCTTATAAAACTAAACAAAGTAAACAAACAAGAAAATATAATTGAAACACTATTACTTAATAATTTTGATAACCAATACCAAGTGACCGATTCTATATTTTAAGTAATTAAATTTTATTTTATGTCGATGAACAAGTGGAAAATGTAGTAGTTACATTGGTAGTACATGTTTTTATATAAATTACACAATAACCTATTAGTTTTATAAATATATTATGAAGCATGTAATTATTATTTATGGTTTCTAAATGGTATAAGTAAAAACATAAAATATAGTTAAAACATATTTAATTATATTAATAACTATTAATTTTATCACAATATAATTATACAGACAACCAGATACCAAAATTCTAGAAAATTGTATTAGAATAAAAATTTGTATAACCATTCTAATCACTAAAACCAAAGTCTACCTAAACTTGGTACATTTTAAAGTTCTTTTCATTATAGTTATACAATAAACACTGTTTATTAAAAATTGTTGTTATGAAATTTATATTTTTTTGGTGAAACTAAAAACTATACAAGATATTATGAACACAAATAATTTTGTTGAATAAAATGCTAGTTGATTGGTTTTTATTATATATTTTTTTTTTTAACCAAAAATGCTAACACAAAATTTCTAGTTATATATATATCATCATCAACAACTTAATGGTCCATTAAGGATCTGCGATGCTACTAGTAAACCTCTGCATTTTTTTTCTGTCCAAAATCCCGTCTAACATAGCATTTCCATCTATAAGTCTCATATCCTTTTCTTCGGTATCTTTTCATCATATTCTTGGTCTTTCAAGTGAGCGTTTTTTATTAATATTTCCTCAGAACATTCTTTAATACATCTCCATCAGCTGTCCACACATGTCCCAAATACTTTATTGTTTACATTTTATTATATATGTTAGTATATTGGGTTTTACATATAGGCCATACAGCTCTTCTCTTAACAATAATAAACCACACTCATCAACAGAATGAAACCAATATATTTTGGATATAAAATTGACACTTAAACTAATGATAATCTAAACACGAAATGTATTTTTCATATTCTTTCGAATTTATTATTACTTTAAAAATTCAATATGACCAGAAAATAATGACGTTTTTAATATCTAATTATTATCATCTTCATTGTATTTTTCATATTATATTCATTTAAAGAAGAGAAAGTGTTTGTTTACATTATGAAATTGTATTTGTTTTAAAATCATTAAGATTCTTTACTAGGTAAATAAGTTGTAAGCGTAATCTTAATTTCGATAAATATAATAAATCGATATTATATGTTGAATAAAATAGAACCTGCACCAGGATAAGTAATAGAAAGTAATAGAAAAATTGATTTTCAAAAAAAAAAAAAAAACTAGGTGAGACGACGTAAAATAATTTTCATAGGGAAAACGAAAACTTCTGTCGAAAAAAATAAAAATAAAGGCAATGACAATAAAACCGGCGACGGCGGTTCTCCATCAATTCGATCACGGTGTATAGTAGCAGTGCGCGTATTCGAGCGCTCGGTATACGGGTGGTGGCGCGCGCACGGATGACGCAGTGAAAACGGTAGGTTCAATGTACCTACTAAGCGACTCCGAAACTCGGCAACGTCGCACCAGCATTGTACAACATCGATCTAGGCGAGGGGCCGTGGCAGCTGCCGTCGCCCGCGCGCCAACGCACACGGCCATAACGGCGACGGTTACCGTCGCCATTGTTCGGGCAGGAAATGGTCGTGTAGTGTCAGCGGGTCGCGGGGACCACATCCGCGACAGTGCCGCGCCGCCGCGGTAACATAAAATGTTAAACGTATTTACAAGTGTACGGAACATTGGGCGTGCGCGCACTACAGATAATAATATACTTTTGCCTATAACGTAAAACGTGTCAACTAAAACAACGACGTCGGTCGTCGTAAACGTAAACGTAATATACAACACTTCGTTAGACACACACGTGTACATCAGTGTATTGAAAATATTTCATAATACATATTACATATTTTACGTATAAATTCCGTATATCAATTTACGTACAGATATTGTAATATTCGCACGACATTTTCGACGCCATTAAAATACTACCGTCAATACCATAGTTAACCTAACCATAGTATACATGTCAATGCAGTAAAGACGACCAGTTGTGCAATAACGTTCTATAATTTTGTTCAATGTCGATTGCCTCCAGAACAGTTGGCGTCGACCAATTGTTATTTTATGTTATTTTATATACCAACGATTAATGAATGTATTCTGATAATTGTGAAATCCATATTGACCTTAATTCTTAAAACTCGTAGTACTCGTTCCACAACAACTTTTTAATAGTTTGTAAATTGTGATTTACAAAACCAATACAATTATTTAAGAATATTATGTATATTTGATTATGAATATTTATTTGAAAATTAACTCTTACTTAATTTTTTCATTTGAATGGGGCGTTTTATTTTGTATATTATATTTGTCAAATTAAACTGATATATATTATGTACCCAAGTATTGTTTATTTGAAACGTGTGAACATTAATTAGTTATTTATGCAATATACTCAATGTTTACAAATATACTTTTTTTTTTGTAATTATCACTTTTATCTGAACTACGACAATGTTAATGCGAAGGATAATATTTCAAACTGTATTTCATGTATTGAGTTATTTTAATACATATTTTAAAAATGCATATGTTTATTATCATATTGTATAACGTACACAACGAACATAACGATAAGTTTTGATACACTTAGAAGAATTGTATTTCATGGTTAACCTTACATATAAAGAAATAATTTTGCATCATCTGTCATATGTTCAAACCAAACAATAAAATTCGATGCAACAGTGTTTTTTTAAACTGTGTTCCACGAAAATAACATGAGATCCGCGAAACCGGTGTTTTTTCTCAAAATATACAAAAAAAATTACTTTAAAAAATCTAACTGAATATCTGTGGGAAAGAAAAGTTGTGTACATCCATGAAACTTATTTTAATGCCACAGAGTTAACAACTACATTAAAAATTAATGTGCATTGAATAATGTATACAGAAGTATATTTTAACGTTGTTGATAAAAATATTATTGGTTACGACGGTCATGGATAGCGTGAACTTCTAAGAAACTACCGTCGATAACGAATGTACTGTTTTAGTTATCAGTAATAAGACAGCTCTTGATAAAATCACAGATTAAATAAAACCAGATAGTGCACTCTCGAAATAGTGAAATTGTAAACAAATTTGAGCACTTCTCAAATCAGTGTGCCCAAAAAAAGAAAATTAAATTCGTTACGTTTCTGTCTATTGGTAGTACCTATGTTATCAAATCTCTCATGATGTTTTGTTTTCCTTTTTTCTTAATGACTAATGTTTTGTCACTTGTCATGGTGTACAAGCAAATTTTTATTTAATCTGTGATAAAATCATCAAAATCAAACCTCGGAATATAAATAATCACTTATTTAAAACCTTATGTTAGGATATGGGAAGTATGCTTTTCTCCTTTTACATACCTAGGTCAGGTTATCTTGAGGAAAGATTCATTTTTTTTTTTAGCTGATGTGTCTTTTTTTAAGGTATTTTTTCTTGGAACACAATAAGATCGATTTTTAGATGAAATTTAAGTACTTAAAATAAAATTACACATTAAAACAACATTTTTACAAAGATCAATTGACTCAATTTAACCTTCAGGATAGACAGTTACATTTATTTATTGCTCACAAAAATATCTTGCTTTGGAAAAAGGTAGAATTTTGGAGAATTTGTTTGGACTCCAATAAGTTTGATTGCTTTCCAATAATAAAATGCATTTCAGAAGAGAAAGATGTAGAAATAAAAAAGCTGTATATTGAAAAAATAATTTAGTATCTTACTGTGGAGAATTTAATATATATATATATATATATATAGTATTTTCCAAATTAATAATTTAAAAATATAAACATAATTAAAAATTAATTTGTAGTCAATGCACAACTTTCGATCATGTCAATTGAATAATATTAAATTTTTATTGAAATGATAAATGATTCACATCGTTACGTTTCTCAGCTTATATATAGAGAAAAATGAAAAACCGCAATAGAGTTGATGCTGAACCAGATATGAGAGTTCAATTCTCATCAATAAAGCCTAATATTAACTATACAGTAGAAGTTACAGTGGTGTATGATAAGATCATAATAACAATATGATATAATATAATTAATATAATTTAATTATACTCTAGTCCTTGCCGCGAAAACTAACACGTGAAAGTTACGAACTAAGCGGCCATTTTTAGTCGTTGATTTTCACAATAGAAATAATTTTCAGTTTGTATAATAATTGCGCAACTGTAATAACCGGTTTGGTTTGAGACTCCATTACTAACGGACGAATATTTCATGCACGTTATAAATGTATGACGTCACATTTATTATACCACGCGGTAAATCAACGAATAGATTTTCACATGAAAACATTTTTTGTGTCCGTATATAATATTACCTACATTTAGCCCCTTTTTCGCAGCTATCAAAATGTAATAACATTGATAAAACGATAACATCATTTTTATTATAATAGTTTTATATATTGATAAATTTAAATTAAAATAGTTAAATACATTTAATAATACACAATCGAAAGAAAAAACACAATATCGTAATTTAAAATTTAAAAATATACAATTCATTGCGAATACTTCAAGCGAAAATGTAATACAAATGTTATAATTAGGTTTAATATTTTGTATTTTTGTTGTAAAAGCGTACCTAACTTTTTAAAATTTAAATCATGAGTCCCATGAACATAGATTTAGTCATTTCCAAATACAAAAATCAT